CTACTTTGGACATATTGTCCGGAGGAAACAATCGCTGGAGAAGGATGTCATGCTGGGTAGGGTGAAAGGTCAGAGAAAAAGAGGAAGACCCCCAACGAGATGGATCAGCCAGGTGGCATCATTGATGGACTCAAGTGTGGCAGCGGTAGTGAGGCTGTCATCTGAAATTGCAGAGAGACATTGGAAAAATTAAATTTCTCTAAGGAAACTGACAAAAACAAGGGTTATTTTATACATGCAAAGAGTTCTGGTGTGGCGCTGTGGGTTAATGCGCCAGACTGCAAAGCCATTTGAACTGCAAGGTCGGTGGTTCGAGCTCACCAGCTGTTGCTCGGAAATCCTAGACAGGATTGCTATGGGTCAGAACCGACTTGACAGCACTTAAAAACAACAACATCTTACGTGCAAAGGCCAGACCACCTCCAGGTTATAAATGAGATCTGCTCCCACATGTGTCTTTAAGTGGAATTTGTATGTAAAGCAGAATAGGTGCATATGGTACTTATTTAGACTCACTTTAGTGCAAGAAAAGCCTCGCAGTCTATTCAATAAGTTGAATACTACACAGCAGCAAATGAAGGTGACTGTGATGAAGAATTTGTTTTGAGTAGGGGTTGGGTCAGTCATTTCAAAGTGAGGGCAAATTTATGTAACATTAAAGGGTAAGTGTGAAGCCTGATGTGGAATAATGCACTAGACTGCAAGGTTGGTTTGAACCACAAGGTTGGGTGTTCAAATTCACCAGATGCTCCTTGGAAACACTACACAGGGTCACCATGAGTTGCAACCAATTTGACAGCCGTTAACAGCAACAACAACAAAGGATAAGTATTGTTGTTGTTCAGTACCGTGGAGTTGGTTCTGACTCATAGTGGCCCAGTACAGGGCTTCCGAGGCTATAAATCTTTACGGGAGCAGAACACTTCATCTTTCTCCTGCAGAACCAATGGTAGTTTCAAACTTCTGACCTTGAGGTTGGCAGCCCAACTCGTAACCACTACGCTACCAGAGGTAAGTATTAGTTGTCCATAAATCTGATGTTCATAAACCTGCGGGCTTGAAACTTTACTAACAAATATTCAAAACCAGAGTCTCTGCTAAATAGATGGCGACAAAATGTCCCTGCTCCTGTCTGGTCCCAAATTAGTCTCTGATTCAGATTAAAGTAACAGAATCATTTGTGGGGAGGATGGAAAGGTATGAGTAAAAGACCTGGAACAGAGACTTTATAAGCTACCGGTACTGTATTATTTCCTGTCAACCTCATCCTGATGTTCACTAGTGCAAGAGAAAAATATCAGACAATGTTACAGCCCCATTTCTGTTTTAAATGAACATGGATATTATGGATGATACACATCTGGAAAAGTCATCAAGAAAATATCTGCTTTCTGTACTTACACAGAAGAATTTGGTCATGAGAAAAAATAAATCATAATCTGTGCTTTACTGAATAAGACAACTGTTGCTGAACTCAAGAGGAAATAATTCCCTTGTGTGTTTGGGAACGTCCCCTTTCCTGGGGCACCAGGTCCAAGACAAGTAAGTGGATGCACTGAAGTGGGGGGCTGAGTCCTGTCAGTCAGGAAAGAGTAGGGGGAGCGTTAAGTTGCTCTTCACCATGAAGAAAATACCAGTATTTCTCCTGTAGCTCTTGAGATAGAATTTATTTTTAAGGGGTTCTGGTCACATAATCTGCAAGCTATTATTGTTGTTACCTGCTGTCGAGTCGGTTTCGACTCACAGCGACCTTGCGTAGGGTTTCCAAAGAGCAGCTGGTAGTGAATTGTTGACTTTGTGGTTTGCAATCCAGTGCTGATCCACAGTGCCACACCAGAATTGTCTGCAAGTTGACATTGTTTTTTATTGGCATGAGACCCAACGTGGGATAGTGGAAGGAACAATGCATTTGGTGCTCAAGTCCAAGTCAGAAGGCTGGTTTTTAGCAGGCATGTGACCTTAGACAAGCCACTTACAAGTTTTTCTCACCTGTGAAAACTGGGTGAGTTATTTTTCCTGTTTCACATAGGAATCTCTAACACACTGCTGTAAGAAAGGTAAGAAAAGGTTTTCTTGCTTTAAACATTCTATGCTGATTACCATGTGTGGGAGGGAAGACAGAGAAAAAAAGAGAAAAGTGGGAAATACTGTTAACTGATGATACACGGAGGGGATTGCGATTATTGTAATGAAACTAAGTACATGATTTTTTGGGAAAAAATAAGCAGTCTCTAACAAAGTACTTTCTAGACTGGGAACGGGTATATAAAGGGAAGATAGTTATGCTTTTAGGGCTTCAGTGGAAAAAGGGAAAAGACAATTGGAGAAGACTTAATATTTTAACATCTCTATTCACCACCACCCACCTGCCACCCCCAAAGAATGAAATGGCTTTGGCAATTTATGCTTAGCAAAATCTTCACTGTCTTCCTTACATCATTTTCAAATCAATTTAGTTTTCTAGATTCTCAAACAGTGAACTTGAACTCAGGTTCATGATTAAGTGTCTGCTAGGCATATGCTGTGACTATGGGATCACTCTATGACACAAAAGCAACAGGAGATGAGGCTGTTGTTGAGAAATGGTCACGAAGGACTGAAGCACAGAGGAAGGGAGAGTGGAGCCTGGAAATAGGATGCAACAGTCTGGGCTTGGGTACTTAGGGACCACTTACAGCTATTGTAAAAAGCAAAACCAAAACCAAACCCCAATGTCATTGACTCACAGCAACTGTATGACACAGAGTAAAACTGCTCCATAGGGTTTCCAAGGCTGTAATCTTTATGGCAACAAACTGCCATCTCTTTCTACCATGGAATGACTGGTGGGCTCAAACCACCAACCTTTTGTTGAGCAGCTGAGCACTTAACTATGATGCCACTACAGATCCTTTGCAGCTACCTTCCTGGAAATCAGGAATTAAAAAAGGGTGACCACGGATGAACCTTGAAAACATTATGCTGAGTGAAATAAGTCAGTCATATAAAAGGACAAATACTACATGATGTCACTGATAACGAGATAGGCAAATATATAAAAGCCGCATCTCATTAGGAGTTACCAGAGGTGGGAGGGAGGGGAGAAAGAGGAGTTACTGCTTAGAGGACACTTAGTCTCTATACCAGAGGAGGAAGCCTTTAGAAAAGGATAGTGGTGCTGTTTATAAAACAACATGCTAAATGTAATTAGGTTCACTGAATTGTACAAGTAAAAGCTGATGAGTTGGCAAATGTTTTGTTATAGGTTGTTGTTGTTGTTGTTATGTGCCATCGAGTTGGTTCCGACCCATAGCGACCCTGTATAGGGTTTCCGAGGGTGTAAATCTTTACGGGAATAGAAAGCCTCATCTTTCTCCCGCGGGGGCAGCTGGTAGTTTTGAACCGCTGACCTTAAGGACTGCAGCCCAATTCGTAACCACTACGCTACCAGAGCGAAGGGTTTGTTATAGGTATTTTTACTAAAATAATAAAAATATGAATGAAACAATTTGGAAGAAAGAAAAGCAGAAAGAAGGGTAGGTTTGGGTTCCATCTCTACCCCTTCTCTCTGGGCTGTAATTTTCATGTGGACAAAACAAGCAAGCCCTTCCCAGCTTTCCCATTCAGTTTCTCTGACTCTTTGGATAGTGCAGACTGCAGGCCTGAGGAGAATTCTGCCCTTACCCATGCCAGGCAGTCCTGAGAGATGGACCACTGCGTATCGTCTCAATGCCCATCACCTGGCGGGCAGGAGGCTGGAATTACCTGGTGTGGCTGTTGGAGGAGAGGCTCTCCCAGGGCTGCACGCTACAGACGGCCACAGCAAAGGTGCCCCCGCAGCTGCCATCAAGCTTCATGAGCAGGGCTTTGGCGGCATTCTCTGCCGTCTTCCGGCAGTCATGAGCCCGCTTGAGCATCTGAGTGATGTTTTCATCCCCTGACTGGTCCCCTGCATTGCAGAGAAGCCAATTAGTCAACACAGGTCTGGAAAATACAAATCTGGGAGAGAGCTTGGTAATCAGCAACCCAAGACAGAGAAGGTACGGTGGAGAAGCCACAGCACTGGACAGCTAGCAAGGAGAGCTGTGCTCTGGACGTGGCTCTGTCATTTACTAGTTGTATTTGGGAAGGCATTTCTCTGGCCTGGGATTTACTTTCCTCATCTACAAATGAAGGGGTTGGCTGATGTGATCTCTGAGGTCTGTTTTCAGTTCTGAAATATGCTGGGATTTTCTAATTATCCAGGCTCCTAGCTTCTCCTCCCACTTGGTCACAAGTCTACCATTTGGCCATTCTTCTGGTGGTGGCACTTCTTTGTGAATAAGGAGAGAGAGAAATCAGGGGAAAACTGTCATATCTCCACCCATTTTTAGCTTTGACCAGAGCGTTGTATAGGTGAGAGAGACAAAAAGTAATGGTTAAAATCAGAACTTTATCCTTCCCTCCTCCCTGAAATCTAGGCAGTCACTGGTCTTTTTTAAGGGATGAATAGGTAGAGCACAAGACATTTTCAGGGCAGAGAAGTCATTTTGTATGATAACATAATGGTGGATATGTGGAATTCTGTATTACCTGAAACCATAGCACTATACAACCCAATGAGCGAAGTCAATGTAAACTATCGACTTTAGTTTAAAATAATGGATCCATGTTGGCTCATAAAGTGTAACAAATGTACCACAGTAGTGTAAGATGCTAATAATAGGGGGAGTGTCCTGGGGAGAGAGGGCACATATGGGAACTCTTTGCACTTTGCCCAATTTTTCTGTAAACCTAAAACTACTCTAAAAAGCAAAACATTTTAAAGAGACAGAGAACTTTAGATTGCCTCCAGATTTTCTGTCCTTGCAGTGCTGTGGTTTAGACACTGGGCTGCCAATTGCAAGGTTGGTGGTTCAAATTTAACAGTCACTTTGTTGGAAAAAGATGAGGCTATCTGCTCTCATAAAGATTTATAGTCTTGGAAAGTCTATATGGGGTTGCAGTGAGTCAGAATTGATTTGATGGCAGTCGGTTTGGGATACCGGCTCAGAAACCAACAGTGACTTTATTGCCCACATTCCTGCTGTGTCTTAAAAACGGCACCAGCCACACAGTCACCAGGTTGCTACTCTAAATGCATGCTTTCTCAAATATGTTCAAGTGAAATCTCATGCAGAAACTGAATGCACAATTGGTAAATATGGAACTGGTTGATGCAGACAGGTTCGGGGAGGATACATTTAGCTTCCCCACTATCCAACTCCATTGCTGAGGTCCAAAGAAACTCTTCCAACTTTGCAAGGCACAGTTTGAAAACCACTGGCTTAAGTCATCTAGAATGAACACAATGAATGCTTGTGGAATGGGCAAGAAACAAAGGAGAAAACCACAGTAACTGATTAAAAAAAAAAAAAAAAAAAGCCAAACCCACTGCCACCAAGTTGATTCTGACTTATAGTGACCCTATACAGGATTTCTGAGACTGTAAATCTATGTAGGAATAGAAAGCCTCATCTTTCTCCCATGGGTCTGAACCATCAAACTTGCAGTTAGCAGCTCAATGCCTAACCCACAGTGTCACAGTAACTGATAGGGTAGGTAAAACTCACAAACTAATACTTGCTCTGCTGTGCAACTACATGGCATGCTGGGGCCAAGTGGCAACTTACTGGCTTCTGCCAGCTAAACAAAGCCTTTTGTTGTTGAATCAATCTGACTCATGGCTCTATCATATGTTACAGACTAGAACAGCTCTGTTGGGTTTTCTTGACTGTGATCTTTAGCAGATTGTTGGTCCTTTCTTCCATGGTCCTTCTGGGTAGGTTTGAACCACCCCTTTGAGATTTACTCACTCATTCACTGCCATTGAGCTGATTCTGACTCACAGAGACCCAGTATAGGGTTTCCAGACTATACATCTTTGTTGTTGTTGTTATGTGCTGTGGAATAGGTTCCAACTCATAGCGACCCTGTATAGGGTTTCCGAGGCTGTAAATCTTTACAGGAGCAGAAAGCCTCATCTTTCTCCCACGGAACAGCTTCGAACTACTGACCTTGCGGTTCGCAGCCAATTCTTAACCTCTACGCTACCTGAGCTCCTTTATTGGAGCAGAAATCCTCATCATTCTCTTGCAGAGTGACTGGTGGGTTTGAACTGCCAACCTTGCAGTTAGCAGTCTAGTGCTAATCCTACAGTGCCACACCAGGACTCATACCTTTAATTGTAGTAAACCCCAAACCCAACTCACTACCATCAAGTCCATTTTGATTCAAAGCAATCCTGTAAAGGTTTTCCAATGCTGCAAGTGTCTATGGGAGTATGCAGATCATTTGTGCCAATCAGGCCCCTTTAGTAGGACAAAGGTACTTCAAAAAAATTAAGCCAACCCTGCTTAAACAATTCAGCTCTATAAAGAGTGGGGAAGCAATGGGGTGGGCATATCCTGTAGACTAAGGTTCTCAGGATCTCCCACAATCTGTTTCTCTGACCACCTTCATGCCTTTCTTCTTTCCATTAAGAAGGGATTTTACATTTCACTAAGTGACTGCTCTTTGAATTCTACATTGAAGTAGGCATACTTCTTATTCACTGACTCATCTCATAAATATATACATGAGTTACAGAGTATTAGGCAAATACATTTTATTATTGATTTTAAAGATTTGTAATGCAGATTTATTTAAGCCTTTTTAGTTTCTACCATGTTAACTGTGCTGAGTTGGTACAAAGCTAATAAAAGGTACTTTTTCAAGATGGGACAATTTAAGATATTCCTCTGAGGCAACCTGGAAATAAGAAGATTGAGTTTTCTTCTGTAATTGATCATCTTTCATTATATAGATATATATATATATATACACACATACACACACCAGTAGCTACTTGGAAATCCTATACATGGTTGCTATGTGTCAGAATCGACTCAACGGCACTTAACTACAACTATATATGGTGGTGGTTGTGTGCCATCAAGTTTGTTCTGACTCATAGTGACCCTGTGTAGGGTTTCA